TGCTGCCCCCCCAGTGCTGTTTACCTTCAGGGTCAGGTCACTTTGAAAAGCCTTAGCATGATTGAGCCAGCCTGCAGGGGTGTGGCCCCCACAGCCACCCCCACGTTGCGTGCCCTTAGTGTGCCCACTGTCTCTCAGATGTTAAGACGTTCACCATTGTCCCCCTGCATGCGGCCCCGGAGGCCGCGGCAGCTGAGATCGACGCGCTCTACGATGTCTACCAGGATGTTCGGGAGAAGTGGGCCACGGAGGTAGGCCTGGGCGGTGGGCTCTGGCGGCCTCTGTCTCTCCCGGGGCCGACAGCTGTCTCCCAGTAGGACATCATGTTGATGGGCGACTTCAACGCTGGCTGCCGGTACGTGACCGAGGCCCAGTGGCCGGGCATCCGCCTGCGCACGGACCCCGCCCTGCAGTGGCTGATCGATGACACTGCCGACACCACCGTCACGTCCACGTACTGCCCCTACGACAGGTTAGCAGGGCCTGCCTGCGGGGGTGGCCATGGGGCCCCGTGAACACCCGGACTGTACGTTCAGCTTCACACGCAGTCGCCAAGACCTCTGAACACGCCTCCTGGGCTTTAGCTGTCCTCAGTGAGTGCATGGTCACCCCAGAAAGCATGTTCGGAGGTAAAAGGGAAGGCGGCCTCCATGCTGGCACGGGCTGGGGGTGTGACCCTGAGGAAGGGTCCAGCCTCTGCCGCCAGGGGCGGGACTCCAGGCCCAAGCCAAAAAGCCCTGAGGGCTGGGCCAGGACAGCAGGTGACAGCGGGCCTCTTTGGCCCCAATGTATCACAGGATCGTGGTCTCCGGGACTCTGCTCCAAGAAGCTGTAGTTCCGGACTCAGCCACTACCTTCGACTTCGAAGCTGCGTACAAACTGAGCAAAAGCATGGTGCGTGTCCCGCCCTCACATGTCAGCTCAATGGGGCCGGGAACTGGGAACTCGTGAGAGCTGGGCCTGGGTGGTTGCCGCCAGCACTGCTCCCACACCAGGTGGTCCAGGCCGGGCTGGCCATGCAGTATGTGCAGGAGCCACGTGGTCTCCCCACAGGCCCTTGCCATCAGTGACCACTACCCAGTGGAGGTGACGCTGAAGAGGACCCAATGCACGCAGAACCCTGTGACCCTGGGGCCTGCTCCTGGGCACGGCTAGTGATCCGCAGCAGGGCAGGCACAGCTGGAGGAAGGGGCTGAGGCGGGGGCCGTCTCTGTCCCGGCCTCCCCTGTCTGCACGTGAGCTGTCACCGCAGCACCAGACCTCTTCTGAGGCCGGGCGAGTCTGACCCACAGGTTAAGAAACACCTTTTAATGTAGCAAATAAAGTCCAAGAAGGTGGCCATGTGGTGGCGTCGAGTCCTTCCTCCTGGTCTGGGGCTCCACACCAGCCCCGGGCCCAGGCCCACGGGCCATCAGTGTTTCTCTAGGGCCTTGACAAGAAGGTCGTTCAGGCGGCCCACCATGGGTCGGGGGTCATCCACCAGCCCTGCCGCGATCATGGCGTTCTCGTAAATCTGCAAGGCGGGCGGGAACCACATAAGCACGACACAGAGAGGAGAGCTTCCCTCCGAACCGAGGCTTGAGAGAAAAAGGAGTAGCCCTGCCTCAGAGGCAGACAGGCCCCTCACCTGGTCCACCAGCAGCTGGGCGAGGTCGGGCTCGCTTGCTCTCAGCTGGCTGAGCTTCTTGATCAGCATGTGCCTGCAACACAGAGCCACAGAATGTCGGCTGGGCCACAGACCTGGCCCTCTGCTGTCACACTCCAGTTCCCGGTGAGGTGCCGGGATCGTCAGAAAGGACATTTAAAAAAGCACGATAGGTTGATTTAGTGTAAAAGCAAAAACAAAAAAATAGCATAGAAAAGTTACATATAGGAACCAGTAGTTAGTGTAATGGCTATGTCGCTGGACTCCCATGGAGTAGACTGCAGTTCGAGTCCCAGACCCGGTGGCTTAAAACTCACACCAGGCGTGTGTGCGTGCGTGCCCAAGATCCCAGGAGGAGAATGGAGGAGAAGGGGTTGTGGCGTGGCCATCCCCCTTGGGGGGTGATTTCTCGCTTTCTGTCTCTCAGTCTGGCCAGTGCACGCGCCCTATAGCAAAAACCTCTCAAAAAAAAAAAAAAAAAAAAAAAAAAAAAAAAATAAATTTTAAAAAGGGGCTTAAACAAGGGCCAGCAGGTGGCGTGGTAGTTAAGGGCGCTGGACTCCCACATGGCCGACGGCAGTCTATGAGTTCTGGACCTGGCGGCTTACTTTCTCATTCTCCCCCACTCTGTCCCTCTCTGGACAAATTAAAAGTAAATAAATAAAGTTAAGTAAAATTCTTCAAGAAAAGATAAAAATGACAACAGAGGGAATGAAATAAATATTTTTTTTTTAGAGTTTTTTTTGCTACAGGGTGCAAGCGCTCACCAGAAAGACAAAAAGAGACAGAGAGACAGAAAGCGAGAAATCACCCCCCTGGGGGATGGCCATGCTGCAATCCCTTCTCCTCCATTCTCCTCTCAGGATCTTGGGCACACATGCACACGTGCCCAGCGTGAGTTTAAACCACCGGGTCCAGGATGCGAACCACGGTCAACTACATGGGAGTCCAGTGACAATAGCCATTACTGGACTGTTGGTCCCGTAATTTTATTTATTTGTTAAGAATTATTTATTTGTAACCAGATTCTGAAAGGAGAAAGGAAAAGGGATTGCAGCATGGCCATCCTCTCTGGGGGGTGATTTCTCGCTTTCTGTCTGTCTCTCTGTCGAGCGCACACCCTATAGCAAAAACGTCTCCCGCCCCCCAAAATTAATTAAATTAAATGAAACAAATAAACAAAAAAATACAGTTGAGCTGATTGTAACAAGGTAGAAAAAGATTAGCACTTGATAAAGACTGCACTTCACGTAAAATAGGCTCTTTAGTCAGCAGCGTTGGGGTGATTGACTGGTCAACAGAAAACAAGGTCCTACCTTATTCCTTAGACCAAAATAAATCCCAGAGGGATCAAATTCTAAATGTAAAAATAAAATCAATATAGGGACCAGCAGTTAGCATAATGGCTATGTTGCTGGACTCCCATGTAGTCAACCGTGGTTCGCGTCCCGGACCCAGTGGCTTAAAACTCACGCCGGGCGTGTGTGCGTGCGTGCCTACCCAAGATCCCGAGAGGAGAATGGAGGAGAAGGGATTGCGGCGTGGCCATCCCGCCTGGGGGGTGATTTCTCGCTTTCTATCTTTCTGTCTCTCTGTCTCTGTCTGGTGAGCGCACGGCGCCCTATAGCAAAAACCTCTAAAATAAATAAATAAAATAAAATCAATATAAAGGTCAGCTGTGTGGCCGTGTGGTTAAGAGAGTGGGGGTCTCACACGGCCAGCCGGACAGTTCAGGTCATGGACCCAGGGCCTTGACAGCACAGGCCAGGCGCAGGTCGTGCACGCGTGCCCAAAGCCCGACAGGATGGAGACGCGGAGAAGGAACTGGGGCGTGACAACACCCCGCTGAGGGGTGCTCGCTCCCCACCACTGTCTGTGTCTCTGGCAAGTATACACGCCCTCTGACAATTAAAATGAAATAAAACTTTAAAACGTCCAATAAGACTTGTTGAAGAATGCACCATACAAAATGCACAGGCTGCAAAGGACATCCACTGCTGTGGGGACCTGAGCCCCGACAGTGACAGGGGTCCTGTCCAGGACGGAAGAACCAGGAGAGAAGATGCCAGGCCTGAAACTGATTTAGAGAATCAGTTAGAATCGCAACCCAACCAGACAGTGCGTGTGAGTACAGGTGGGACTTGGAAGGGTAATTAAGAACCAAGAGAGGTCAAGATGTCCGTGAAGACAGATGAAGGCAGGAACTCCCTGGCAGAACGTGAAGGTTGAGGGCTTTGGCCACGCAGAGCCAGTGCGCCCATGGACACCTGGCAGTCGGCTGGGAAGGCAACGGGGCAGGGGGAGGATAGGCCTAGCACTCAGTGGGGCAGGACAAACGGGCATTTTTATGGAATAGCACGTGCCAGGTGAACTAAATACAGAGGGGATAGGAACTGAACACAGGCCAAGCCACATGGAGAGCAACGTTGTAACCTGACTCTGGTGACAGATTCCCTAAACTGAAAATCCCACTAATGAAGGTTTATGAGTTTGATTATAATTAAGGACTCCCACTTGTCAGAAGATACTTTAAAGCAGGTGAAAAGACAAAGTGGGAAAAGGAACCTGCAGGTGACAGAGGACACACAAAGAAGGCTGAGCGCAGTGGCAAAGCTGGGAGTGCCACTCGGCAGGCTGAGGCCGCACGAGAGGCCCGTGTTCAATGCCGCCCAAAGAAGCCAGGTATATGGCACACTCCTGGGCCCCGGTGCCACACGAGGCTGGGTAGGACCCGCATGCAGAATGCTGTCTACAGACCAGCCTGCAAGCACGCACGCACAACTCTCAGTTGACGAAAGCAGGAGAAAAGAATTGTAAAAGGCATATCTCAAGGAGAGCCACGCCAGGCTGGAGGACAGGTGGGAAGTGCCAACTGCCTTAGCAGTCAGGACCAGGTCCCTAGTACCTGTGGGCGGCAGCTGGACGCCCCTGTGGGAGGACGCAGCACTCACTGCCAGGGGTGCCACGGGAGTCCTACCAGGCACCAGACACAGGTCAGCAGCATCCTCAACCCCAAACTGGAGCCACCGGTGTCCAGCAGAACGACCGGACGACACCCTGTGTGGAGGCAGCTCACACGACAGACGTGCTCAGCTGTGAAGACGGGCCATGGCATGGTGGTCTCTCGCGTGTGGGTAGGGGCAGTGACTTCTCAAAGGGCACGGGCATGGCCCCGGGAGCCAACGTGGACAGCTCACAATGGGCAAAGCCAGCTTGTGTAAGGGTGCACGAGAGATGGCCAACCACGCAGTGAGGAAACAACTAACCAAGGCAGGCCTGTGGCTCCCAAGGACAGAACCGTCCTGGGGAGACTCGAGGAGGGCCCGGTGGTTGGCAGGGTTCGGCCGGAGGTGCAGCTGTCACACAGCTGTTCTCCCAGAAGTCACCACTTCCTCTCAGGCATCCCCGTGGTCGGGAGCAGTCAGCCTGGCCTCACCTGGGATTGATCTCCAGCGTGGGCTGCAGGAACTGCGCGCGCTCCTCCTGCGTCCTGGCCAGCTGCTGCATCCGCAGGAAGTGCCGCGCAGCGCCCATCTCCAGCACGGTGACCATGGCTGGGTGGGTGTCCAGGCGCAGCGTCACCTGAGGCCAGAGGTGCGGAGCTGAAGGGCTCTGGGATGGGGGTCCCGGGAGTAGGAAGGGCTCAGGGCTCAAGGGACAGGGGGATCCCAGAGATGAGGAGAGCTGGGATTGGTAGGGTCTGTCACTGGGGTGAGGCTCCCACAAACAAGGCAGGTCAGGTCCCCTTGGGGCCCAGGCCACGACACTTCTTCCATCCAAATGCACTGAACAAGGGGACCTGAACTGCTGCCCCCATGAGGTGAGAGCTCAGTGGGCCCCCCTTCTCTCCAAGGCCACCCACTTCTGTCTCAAGACCAGAGTCCCCATCGCCTGGTGGTGTTTTCAGCGTGGTCCTCTATGGGTCCCCTGCCAGGTCTGTATTTGTCCCTGCGACCCTCCGCCCTGGCAGTTTCTCATCTGTCCCGTCATGTCTGCCCAGGTGACAGATGTTGGTGCTGGCACCCTGCAGACCCTGCCCAGGCACAGAGACCCAGCTGGTCACCTGGGGGACAGGGGAAAGCCCTTGCTGCCAACCCGGCCTCTATGGCCCCTGGCTGTGGTCTAGGGGACTCTGCCTCAGACTGGGGACAGTAACCCGACCTGGCTTGTGGGTGACCTGGGGCTGAACGAGCTGGCACAGGAGGAGGAGCGTGTCGGCACGAGCTGCTGCCAGGCCCTCCTCGTTTATTCTCCTTTGCCAGAGGGCACGTGCCTTGCCAGAGCGAAATGGAGAGAGGGAAAGCACCCCCAGTGGGGCACAGTCCCGCCACCATCTCAATTCCATCTCTCCATCCTTTCAGATTCGGGGCCCCCACGCGTGTGCTCAGGGTGTGTATCAAGCTCCAGGGATGGAACGTGAGGTCGGACATGTGAGATCCAGCATCCTAGCCGCTAGGCCACAGGCCAGCCCGTCTCTCGAGGCCTGCTGCCTTGCCTCCCTAGGCCCTCTGCAACCCCTGAGCCTGCCGAGTCTTCCTCCTCTGCTCTGTCCCAGCCCACCCGGCCCCTGCCCTCTCCTTGGGGCTGCCGTGGACCTGTCCCCGAGCCAGAACCCTGCACGGGATGCCCTGGCTTGTCGTTCTCTTCTAGCCCTGAGCTAGAGCAGTGGGTTCTTAGGTCTCTGAAGCCCACTGGGAACCCCTTGCTACGAACCCACAGGAGAATGTAGGCTTGGGAGGGGCCCTTCTTTAAACCCTGTGTCCTCAGCTGCCACAGCCCCAGCAGGCCATGGTGGACTCTCCCTGCCCACCAGGCCCTGGGCTGCCCTCACTGCTCAGATTCCACCTGCTCTAAAACGTGGGGTAGGAGAGACCACACTCCTGGCCCCGGCAGCACTTCTGAGCTGCATATGTGTATGTGCGGCAGCAGAGACCCACGGCAGCACGTGTGTGTGTGTGAGAGCCAGGACATGTGCCATGCATGTGCATGAGGGATCAGGCCAGGAACACATGGTGGCACACATGGACCCACACGGTCCCCACCTCTACACTGCTAGGCCAGTCACTCAAAGCCAGCGCGTCAGCCAGCCCGTCGGGGCACCGGGGCCCAGAGTGGTGTGCCTGGGAGGCCTCACCTTCACGTTGGTGACACGCGACCCCAGGGCATTTCTCATCCAGGCCATTAGCTCCTCGGTCTCCTCCTCTGACAGGCGCTCCCCGGCTATGGAAGAGCAGGCGTGAGTGAGTTCAGGGACTTCGCGCCCTGCACGTGCCCAGATGGCCAACACCCAATGCAGATGTCCCGCCACGGCAAGAACTACGGAAGCCTCTTCTCGGCAACAACTCCAGCCTCAGAGAGGACACTGGACGGCCTGAGGCCCACCTAATTTTGTTACGGCTTTCACGTGGCAACTCAGGCTCTCTCAGGAAGCACATTCCACTGCAGGAAGCCGTGTGAGAGGCGCTGGAGAAGCCCTGGGATCTAAATGGGGCGTCGTCTACTCACTGGACAGATGAAGAGAGAAACCCCAGGAAATCCAGAGACAATTTCCCTGCAGGACAGTGGCGTCAGCCCCTGACCCCGTCACCTGGCCCCGGCCCTGGCAGAGGAAAGGACACTGACCGGGGGACCTGTCCTCGAACTTCTCCTCCTTGTAGTGGTCGACAACAATGTCTGTCTCCACGGAGATCAGCTTCTTCCTGTCAAACTCGCGGAGGTGCAGCAGGGTCAGCTCGTCAAACTGCTCGTAGCAGAAGAGGACCTGCAGCCCAGACACTTGTCAGGACCAGGAGACCTCCGCCCACGACAGGAAGGAGGACATGGAGGTGAGAAGCAAAGGCTGCAGCCGACAGCCAATGGGACCCCAGGCCCTTGGCCTCGTGGAGGCAGAAGGTGCACCAGGGAGTTTTGAGGGAGGCCGGTGGGCCAGCAGCAGAGCCGTTCCCGCATCATCTCCCAGGAAGCAAGGTGCTGGCCTCTGCCCGAGGACCCGACTCACGCTGCTCACCCTCTGGCTCCCGGCACCTCTAGCTCTTCTCTACTCAGCCCTAGGCCGGGAAGTTCAAGCCCTCCCTCGCAGCACTCAGACCACCCTGTCCTGGTCCCAGCCCCATGGGGAAGACGGTGCAGAGAAGCCTGGCTTGGGGCAGGGTACCGTGGAGCCTCGCCCCGCCCTGCCAGTCACCCACCTCCGTACCCTTCCAGTCACCCACCTCCGTATCCTTCTGCTTCATGGCCTCGTAGTAGGGCGAGTGCTCGGCCAGGTGCCTGCTGGGGGCGCACAGGTAGTAGATGCTGCGGCTGCCAGCCTGCATGCGGGCGGCGTAGTCTGCGAGACTGGTCAGCTGCCCAGCGGGCAGTGCTGAGGACTCGTAGCGCAGCAGCCTGGCTATGTCTTCCTGTAGACAAAGGGCAGGTCACTGTGCCAGGCACTCACGGCCCTGGCCCCAGGTGTTCCAGCAGTGTCAAACCCTGGCTCCAGCAGGCATGAGGACCCATGACACCCACTCTCTAGCCTGCTCACAGCCCACTGTGCAGCAGCTAATGGTGGCCAGCAGGTGTCGTGTGGGTAAGACTGAGGGCAGGGCTGCCAGCTCAGCACAGGTGTGGCCTGGAACCCAGGGGATGAGCACGCTGGGAGCCTGGGCCCCATGGCCACCAGCCTGGATGCTGCCTCATCTAAGCTGGGATGGCACAGGAGTGGTACGAATGTAGGACAACAAGGGACAGAGTGCAGAGGACACCATGGTAGGTCCTGATCAAAGGACCTGCCTAGGACTCAGGTGGACAGAGCAGACAGGCGGGGAAAACCAGGACCCGGGCGCGGCATACACCACAGGCCCGTCAACAAGTACACACATCACAAGCCAGTGAGCTTCTTAAGGGTGCAGGCGACCCCTAGCTGACCTGCTGGGTGCTGCGACCTGGGGGAGAAGCCGAGAGGCAGAAGGGGCTGTGCTGGGAGCTGCAGGGCCGTCTGCTGGTGAAGAGCCCGCCGAAGCCTCTTCTGGGCCGCTGCACCGGCTGGGGCCCCGTGAGTCCAGGGTCACCTCCACAGCCCAGGCCAAGGCAGATCAGAGTGGGGTCTGCCGGACAGTCCTACCTTGACCTCCTGCTCGGCGGTGGTCACGATGCCCTCCCTCATGAACATGCCGTAATCGTCAAAGAACTTGGCGTATTTCTCAGCGTCTCTTTTACTCTGGTCAATGAAGAACTTTATTAGCCTCTGCTGTAAAACGTCCCGGAGTTTCCTACAGGACAGAAGTTCATGAACATGAATAGCAAGGTCCAAAACACCAGCAGCCAGGAAGGCAGGAAGGCAGGAAACCACGCGGAGCCCACCAGTGATCAAGGAGATGCAAGCAGCCACCTGCCGTCCTGGGCCCAACTGAGGGCAGAGAGGACGCCTGGAAGTGGCCAGCCAGGGGCAACACGGCGAGGTGCAAGCACCCCCAGAGGTGGGCATGAGAACAGCACCCTCTGTAGACAGATCCCTGCAACAGAGGCCCCAGCAGAGAACGGAGCTACCCTTTGGGTCAGCAGTTCCCATGGTAGAATTACACTTTGGGACGTAGTCCTGAGTGTGCTAGGGTTTGTGGGCCAGGCTTTTTGCTGTGGCACCAGAACTCTAAAACAGTCATAAACAGGGACCAGCGTAGGCATAATGGCTACGTCACTGGACTCCCATGTAGTCGACAACGGTTTGAGTCCTGGACCCTGTGGCTTAAACTTACGCTGGGCGCGTGTGCATGTGTGCCCAGGATCCCGAGAGGAGAAGGGAGGAGAAGGAATTGCGGCATGGCCATCCTCCCTAGGGGGTGATTTCTTTCTTTCTGTCTCTGTCTCTCTTTCTGGCGAGTGCATGTGCCCTATAGCAAAAACTGAACCAAACCAAACCCGCCCACATGCCCAAAACACCAAAAAATAGCAGAAATGGAGAAAGGATTGGGCTGTGACCATCACACGGGGGTGCTTTCTTACCACCCCACTCCCACCCTTGCCTCTCTCTAGGGAGCACACACAGTGAATAAAAAGGAAATCGTTCGGCAAGCCTAGAACCTCAGTGACTCACTGTATGCTGACAGAGACTCCCAAGGCAGCACCGCTGGGGACACGCCACCTCACCTAGGCCAGGTCTGCTCAGGTGGCCATCAGGCTGGGTGCCCAGTCTACCTGGGGAGGCCTGGCCTGCTCCAGCTCTCAGCCTCTCTCCCTTTCTAGTCTCCATCCTGACGTGACCAGTCATCCCCGAACTTCTGGCTCACAGACTGAGCTGTTCAAGAACGTGCCCTGGAGGCCAGGCCAGGTGCCTGGAAACCCACAGGGCCCCCACGAGGCCAGGCTCCCCAGCTTTTCACTGTGCTCTCAGTTCCTGTGAGCCAAGGCCTGGGCCCTCTGCTAAGTGGTGAAGGGGCCTCCTCAGCCGAAGCCCGACAGCCCCATCCAAGGCTCACCTGATGAGGGCGCTTTCCTGCAGGAGCTCCCGGCTGAGGTTCAGGGGGATGTCCTCGCTGTCCACCACACCTGGGAGAAACGGCCGGTCAGGCAGTCCCCCATGGCCTGCACCCCTGCCCAGGTCCTCCGTGTGCTGGACTGCCCTATGCGTCTGTGGCCTACTCTCCCATGTGCCACGGGGTGAGGGAGTGAGGGGATGAGGAGGCTGGCAGCCCTCAGCACCCTCCGAGGCCTGCTCGCCTCCCCAAGTCAGATCACACAGATGCGACTTGAGGCCACAGTCGGGCAGCACCACCACCCAGAACCTGCCCCACACTTCAAAACCACATCCTGGTCTTATATTAAAAATTCTAACTACTGGTGCCAGCAGGTGGCATGGTGGTGAAGGCCCTGGACTCCAATGTGGCCAACTAGCTAGAGCCCTAAGCCCAGTGGCTTGAAAGTCATGCTGGACCCCTATGAATGTGCGCCTAAAATTTCAAGAGTATAATGGAGAAGGGGTTGTGGCATGGCCATCCCCTTGGGGGTGATTTCTCACATTCCTTCTCTTTGTCTCTGGCAAGGGAACATGGCCTACGGCCAAAAAAATAGCTGTTTGTGGCTAGTTTGCCCCTTTCTGTGTTAAGACAAAATAAAGTTTAAACACTGAATTCTTTTTTTTTTTTTTTGGAGAGGTTTTTGCTATAGGGCGCGTGCGCTCGCCAGCCTGAG